TTTTATCTAAATTGTAGAGCCTGTTTAAGACAATTTCGGGTGAAATGTATACCCTGTTTAAGACAGCAAGGCCAAAAACCATACCCTGGCCAGCGGCACGTCCCCATATAGCAAATATATGGGAGTACCCCCCCGGGGGATTTCACTAGCGCAAAAGCATAGGCATAAGCAAGAAGTCAAAGAGTCATATGCGCCAGTGAGAACGGGCTCAAAATAAGTATAAGCTTGATCTTCTTGTGCTTATCTCATGCTTATGCTCAGTGAGAACGGGACTGCATAGGCATAAGCATAGTCTGGTACATAAATAATACGCTTATTTTATTCTTATGCTTATTTTTTATTCTTTGCTTATTTTCTCACTGGCGCATATGTGATTCACATGCTTGTGCTTATGCTATGCTTATGCGCTAGTGAAATCCACGATTTAGAGAAGGCTTAAGTGCCACATAGAAAAAAAAAACTAGAAAATTAATATTATCTATACGCTCAATTCACTTGTCCATTTTTCTTTGTTGCTTTTTTGATTTACGTTATATGCTTCACTATAATCAATGTATCGTTCATCATCAGGAAAAGACTTATGCTGTGGTTCTTTTATCGCTGTTTGTCTGCGTCTCTGAGATGAGTGCAGCTCCTTTAGAAGAGGTTAGTCTTGATTCACAAACCCAGTTAAGCCTGTATAATTTTCAACTTTTACCCACCAACTATCGCTGCAATAGTTATTACTAGCCTGCAATTATCCATCGCCAAAACTGAGCTAGAGAGACACAGTGGGAGGGGAAGTGAGGTAACATTTGAAGCTGTGCATATAAGGACCTTCTTGTTGAGCTATCTTTTTTTACATGTTTCAGGTGGATCACCCTATAAATGTTATCAGTCCCACGCCCCAGACGGCAGATGCCGCGGCCCTTGAGAAGTTCCAGGTGCATATTACAGAGAATGGAACCAAATTGGTTGAGAACATCTATGTTGATAAACAAAACGACATCGAGTACTTCAAAGTACCACCGCATAATGGACTCTCCGAGACGGACAATCTGTACGATTTCAGAATGGTAAGTGAGATTAAGAGCAGATGTCCGTAAAAATCAAGCAAAAGGCGGCAAACCTTGAAAAATCGATTTCGCTCATACTTATACTATTGATAGGGTAGAGTGTCCCTATAARCKCTGTGTAGTTAGTTTGGCTGAATATCGTGTTTTGGGGGAGATATATGCAAATTAGTTGAGGGCACCGGAAATTGTAGATTTCAAGGCAAATTTTGGTCCCACTTTGTGAGCTCGCTATGTCAATTTGAGTAATGCAAGCACAAAACTAACTTTGGATTATTGTAACGCAATGTTTTCTTTACTCTGTGCTTGCTTTTCAGCCCGGTACGGCGTTTATTTCGTACCGAAATAATTTTATTTTCGAAGACGATATTTTTGTCTAGAAAAAGTATACCTTACAAAAATATCAATAGCACAATTGCTTAACCTTCAAAGTCCTTCNGTGCAGATCGCTTGGTGCTTCGAGTAGTATGCTTTCGAAACTAAATCAATGGCCTTTTTAGCGTTAGGCAGTGTTGTGTGGGCAAAGATTTCAAATTAGAACAAGAAGAAACATTTTTTATCAATAAAAAAAGGCGAGTTTAATGATTTTATAGGTATCATTTACTTTGTAAAGTATTTTCTTGGCCTGAGAGGTCAACGTTATCACTTACAATTTATATAGCACGTTTGATTTTATCAGTGAAAGCAAGGACTCTTTTAAAACGTTCATTGCTATATTAATTACATGACCTTTTAGGTCAAGTTTATTTTAGTCTCAAGAGAGTTGGGATATTTTGAACTAGACGCTTTTATTAGGCCGTGAGTTCGGCTATTTTGGAGAAAAATTAAGAAATATATATTTTAATCTAATTTTTATATTTTATGTAATATCCTCCTGTTTTTCTCAAGTTTCATTTGCAGGCACCAACCTGACCTGACTATGCATTCATAATATAATCATATGATTAAACAGAATATAACATCATAATCTTTTCACTCGTGTCTATCAATTTTCAAAAATAGCTAGTCCGATTTCACGCCCCAGGGGCGTCTAGTTTACCTATCATTGACGATCAAACGATCGTTGACCTGTCGGCATTTTAAATATTTGAATGTTTATCCGCTGACCGTGTGTAACGGCTGTGTTCCGATGGTGTGACGTCATTCGAGCGCCGAATACGTTATATGCTTCACTATCAATATATCATTCATCATCAGGAAACGAGTTATGCTGTGGTTCGTTTATTGCTGTTTTTCTGCGGTATCTGTGAGATGAGGGCAGCTCCTTTAGAAGAGGTTAGTCTTGGTTCACAAACCTGTAAGACCTGGTGTATTTTCAACTTTAAACTGTCCATTAGTACCTTCATGATAAACATTTTTTTTGATCGACACGTTTCAGTTGGGGCACCCTAACGTTGTCAGTCCCACGCCCCAGTCGGCCGATGCCGCGACCCTTGAGAAGTTTCAGGTACATATTACAGAGAATGGAACCAAATTGGTCGAGGACATCTATGTTGATAAACAAAACGACATCGAGTACTTCAAAGTACCACCGCACAATGGACTCTCCGAGACGGACAATCTGTACGATTTCAGAATGGTAAGATAAATTTATAGAGGGATCGAATCCTGCGCAAAATACGATAAAATATACGAATTATCTATCAATAATCCCGTTAAAATTTTTTAATTGTTTTCATGCTGGAGCCATGAAAAGTTGTTCTTCAAATTTTGAAAAAAATTCTTCCGATGGATTCTTCAATTCAAACGTTTATCTATTTTTTTCAGAACATCACTGTTAGTCGAGTTAAGAAAGATCGTGTTTGCCAAATCACCCCACTGCCAGATCATCTACCCAGACCCGACATGTTGTCTAAAGGTCTACAATCGGTAAGCCTGTTGTGTCGGGCCCGTAGGTCGTAGGACCTACATTAAATGTTTAACTAGATTAGTTTAATGCACAGGTATAGCGTGTAAGAACTGGCTGCTAGAATAAGCAAGTCATGACACAAAATACTATCTCACAAAAACCTACCGAGTATACATTTTAGATATACCTTTATATATCTTTTTGGTTTTCATGGTTTAAACCTTTTCAGAATAGCTTAGTTTTATTCAAGGTATCCATGGGAATGACCGTTTGATATTTGAAGGCTTAAAAACAGGTTGATGGTTAATAGCGGAGCTCCCGCGCGGGCCGAAGGCCCGCGCGAGCGGAGCACCATAACTAAGGAAAAATGGTAAACCCATGGAGTTGAGTTTTGATCAACCGACACAGGAAGCCCAGTTGTCCTTCCGTACGTACGNAGACAGATCTTTCAAACAATGTAAAGTTTTCTTTGGGCAAATGTTTGTACGCGACGCTACGTGACGCCAAAGTTGCTTAAAATTGGGCATAATTGGACCTTAAAGTTCGTCAAAAGCAAAGTTTATCAGAACAAAACTTACTCAAAACATGCTAAATGAAGAAATCGATTCTAGTTTGGAGTAGATACGAATATACTGCTCTCTATAAATACATGAAACGTATCCCATGTAACGAAAGTGTATCAATTTACACAAAGCTAGCAACTTGTCAACACTGAAACACACAGGGAGCCCATTCAAAACTTTTTTCGAACTTTTTTGTATTGTTTATACGATCATTATGGCTTGTATTCTATTCCCATGTTTTCTAGTGGATTTTAGTACATACTTAGAAAAAGTCTCTTAAAGTAGATGTAGATATGTACAATCCTTGATAGCGCATGTAACAATAACAACCAAGTTGCAAAAAAATTCAAATTGTCTTTTCAGATTTAGTTTCATTAGCAGCTATATTGGAATAATTATATTGTAATAAAGTTATGGTATTTAACAATTGAAAACAAAATTTTTACAACATAAAAGATGCAATTTAGTGACCATTTGGTTGATATCACTCAACTAGAATAAAACAGTACAATAAACACTTTGAGCAACAAACAATATACATTACTTGGTGTATTGTAGTAAAGTAATGGCGTATGGTCACAAGATCGATACTGATCGACGCGAGCGCAGCATATAAATTATTTTCTATTCACAAAAACTAAAGAAATATAGCTGAGCAAAGTGAAACAAGTGATGGACCKCTCTTTYCCACCATTTCTTTTGAACATTTTTCGCAAGTCTTTTAAAAAGAGCGTGGCTAACAGATTTTAACTTCTAAGAAATTGCACAACAAATATTGTTAAATTCAATAAGTTCCAATGATAAAATGTATAAAATATTTCATGACAACGGCAAAACGAAGAGGAAAATCAATATCGAAGCTAAGGTATATCTGGACTTCTTGTTACCTATCACGACTATCAACAGCACGCCCCCGGGGGGGGGGACTCCCTAATATCAAAGGGCGGGTGTCCTCGGCGTCCCTTTTAGGGTTTGAAATCAGTATTTTGGTCCCGCTTAGGGTCATAATGACGAGAATTTCCCCCAACTGAGTTTTGTGGTCCCTTTTAGGGTATATGACGTCCCTAAGCCATCATATTTCCTATGAAGGAAAGGTAGGTGCTGCATTCAACTAAAACAAAATGACCTGTTATTGATTGGTCCCTTTTAGGGGTGAAATTTCAGCACTGCCCATCATCTCCAAACACAGGTCCCTGTTAGGGGCCATTTTCATAATTTCCACCGAGGACCCCCACCCTTTGATATTAGGGAGTCCTCCCCCCCCCCGGCCAGCACGCATTCAGTCTCAAGACCTGAAGTGTTATCATAGGATATTTCTCAAACAACCCTCAGTTACAATTGTTCATGAATTTACTCTTTTATTCTTTTAGAACTTTGTTGAATTTGGTGTATCAAATCAAGTTTTATTGTTAAATACATGCAATTGATTTTAAGCAACTTTGGCATTATGTAGCGTCGCGTACAAACATATGCTCAAAGAAAATCCTACACCGTTCAAAAGAACTTTATTTTGAGAGTTTGTACTCGATTTTTTGAGGGCTTTGAAGGTTTATCAAAAGTTTTGAATGGGCTCCCTGTGTGTTTCAGTGTTGACAAGTTGCTAGCTTTGTGTAAATTGATACACTTTCGTTACATGGGATACGTTTCATGTATTTATAGAGAGCAGTATATTCGTATCTACTCCAAACTAGAATCGATTTCTTCATTTAGCATGTTTTGAGTAAGTTTTGTTCTGATAAACTTTGATTTTGACGAACTTTAAGGTCCAATTATGCCCAATTTTAAGCAACTTTGGCGTCACGTAGCGTCGCGTACAAACATTTGCCCAAAGAAAACTTTACATTGTTTGAAAGATCTGTCTTTGGAGACTCTGTATTCGAAGTTTGAAGGACTTTGAAGGTTAAGCAATTGTGCTATTGATATNGTGAATTCCAAAATTGTTTTGAAACATTTAATTTCGTCTACAAATAGTTATAATATTCATTGTGTTATTAAATTGATTGATTTTAGTGACATTTGACTATTTGTATTGCCATTTTTCAGTCATTTTATCAAAATCTTTAATAAAAACACTTAATTTATTTACGTTTTTTGCTCTCTTTGACACTTGATATGATAATAAAGCACTTATTTACTGGAAACCTCGGGAAACAGTATGTTTTGCGGTCCCTCGACCGCTGATGTTTCCCTCAGCTTCGCTTCGGGAAACATCAGCGGTCTCGGGACCACAAAACATACTGTTTCCCTCGGTTCCAGTAAATAAGTGTTAAGTATGTTAGATTATACGTGCAAGCGGTTTTTGGTGCTCAATTATATATATCAATTCTTCTACTTCAAGAACACCTTGGGCACTTTTAGTCTGGTTTAAATTTGCTTTTGAATTTGAAAATCTTTACCTGATACACTTCAAAACTTCTCAATTAAATGAGCTTGTTAACAATGAAAATATGTGTGAATTGTGTGTACATTTTATCCACAATAATAATCTTATATTTGACATAAAACTATTCGGATGTTTTAAGTATAAAACTATGCATTTTGAAAAGAGAGCCTTGATATTATTTGAATGTTCAGATTTTTACTCTTTATTCTTCAATAAACTCTTTAATACAAACTGTCAACAAATACAGAGAGCAAAGATAAGCAAAGAATTTGAGAAGTTGAAAAATGGATAATCATTATGAACATTAAGCTTATGATTCCTTTAATTGTTTACAAAACTGTCAAAATGTATTATCATTTATGATCACTGTATGTCAAAAATGTATTGAGGTAATTAGTGTCATTCCTGTGTGATTAAATTATTATTACCTATGTTTCCTGTATGATTGAAAAACCACCAAAACTGTCAAATTCAAATGACCCATAAATCATTTTTTGGATCACTGTATGATTGACAAATATCAACTGCCAAAATGTATTTATTATTATTTATCATGATTCCTGTGTAATTAAATAAAGGATATTACATGGGTGCATGGAAATATTGTGCTAACTCGTGGGATAAATAAATTCAAAACTTGAAGATAAAATTCATATCTTCAGGTGACAGCTGTAATGTTCTGTTTATTAAATGACATTGGTGTAAGCAAAAGTGTGTAACATTTTCATTATAAGATCAAAAATTTTGAACATTTCAAGAACATATTAATTATTGATTTATGATTTATGCATGATTGAATAATACCAAAACTGTCAAAATGCATTTATATTATTTTATGATTCCTGTAAAGATTGAAAAATACCAACTATTAAGAATTTACAAAAAAAATTGCAAACAATTTCAATCTATTGACATATAAAGATGCATTTGTTATTATTTTTATTACCGTATTTCTGCATGATTGAAAAATTTCAACTGTCAAAATGCATTTAGCAATAAATATAAATCCTGTATATGATTGAAAAGTCAAAGTTTCAAAATATATTAATAATTTATATTAATTTATGATTTCTGTAATATTAGAGTACATGCAATTAAATGTGTGCTATACTTTCCACTATTTAGTACAAAATAATGTTAATTAAACAATAGAATTAGCATAATTTAGCAGTATTTAGTGGTATTTATGTTGCACAGTTTTAGTGTTTGTATACTCTATCTAAAAAAGTTTTATTTTGGTAAATAACCTAAATTATGTTTTTAGCATTATACATGGTGTACTCTTCATAAGAAATTGTGCACTATATGAATGCACACAATACCACAAGAATTCAAAATAAGTGGTTTTCTTTACATATATTTATATATATCACTGCTTTGCATCAACAAAGCTGAAGAGAAAATATTTAATAATTATTCAATGTAGTGCAATGGATTTTTTTTGTTAGAAAAAATAAATTAGTCTTGACAAAACATGTACTAAAAATCTGACCAATCTACCGAAGTCAATATTAATACGAACTAAATTCTCATAAACATACTCTTTATAAATTAATATTTGTTCGCATGTCAACAAAAACTGTTGTAGCTCATATTCCTTAGAACAAAGCATCTACCTTTGAAATAGCAGTACTAGATAATCATTTTCAGCTTCTATATTGGTATTGGAGCTCCGCTATTAGGTGTTACCTAATTTTTATATTAATTGTATTTTTAAGTTGTCAGGCTCGCCCCCTTCCCACAACATCAGGAAAATCTCAAGACAGTGGACCATCGGTCCAATAGTCGACAAGTCCACTTTGAGAAAGGAAGTACGAGACTTCTGTGGCCAGTTCCCAGTCTACCGCCTGGAACCGTTCAATGCTGATTCGGTTTCTTATGGCATAATTGGTAAGCATGCACAAGAAAATTAGTATAATTAATAGAATAATACGTATATATCAAAACGAGTCAGGTATGCTTCTGTGCTGTTTTTACACTGTAATTCAATATAATATTATCTCAGCACTTCCCTGACAACAAAACAAAACCAAACCAAACAAATCCAAAAAAAAAACAAAAAGGAAAACCATATCAAACCAACAAAACACTAAAATATATGTATAACTGACAGTTCATACACCTTTCTCATAATGGCGGCAATTGTGTTTTTCCAAAATAAGATAGATATGAATATTTTGTCACTGTARCRTCAAAGAACTATCAGAAATAAACGTTTTTGGAAAGTTTTAGAACTCTGCACAAAATAGGAAAAAAGTTACGGTGAAATAAAAATACAAAGAAATGTATGTAATTTTCCACCAATGGCTGTCTGTCTATTTGTTTCTGAATATGAAATATGTGAAAACTTTGTCACTGTCATGTGAATGAACTACCAAAAATAAACATTTTTGGAAAGTTTTACAGCCCTGGATAAAATGCGAACAAAGTTATGGCGAAATGAAAATACAAAGAAATGTATGTAATTTTCAGCCAAGGCCTTTATAGCCTCGTTCTGGTGTTATGATATATTTTAAATCCTTATAACTTCACCAGAATTTAATATTTTCNTTGCATTACTCAAATTGACATAGCGAGCTMACAAAGTGGGACCAAAATTTGCCTTGAAATCTACAATTTCCGGTGCCCTCAACTAATTTGCATATATCTCCCCCAAAACACGATATTCARCCAAACTAACTACRCAGHGYTTATAGGGACACTCTACCCTATCAATAGTATAAGTATGAGCGAAATCGATTTTTCAAGGTTTGCCACTTATTTTCGAAAATGCTTGATGAATACGGACATCCACTCTTAATTCGTAGTGTGCCCTGATCCTGTGCAAAATATGATAAAATACAAATTCTCTATGAATACAGTTAACTTTCTCAACTGCTTCATAAGGAAAAAAGAAAAAAAATTGTTCTTCAAAATTTGAAAAGAATTCTCTCGATGCATTCTTTGATTTATACATTAATTTTGTTCGTTTTCAGAACATCACAGTTAGTCGTGTAAAGAAAGACCGTGTTTGCCAAATCACCCCACTGCCAGATCACCTTCCCAGACCTGACATGTTGTCTAAAGGTCTGCAATCGGTAAGTCTTTGTACTTTGCTGCTGTAATTAAACCACTACATTTCACACAGCTCTAATGTGATATACAGGCCTGTTAAGTACCACAACTAAATCGATCCGAGCAGACATTTGCTAAACCTTTATATTTATATATATCTTTTAGTTTTTATTGTCTAAACCTTCTCAGAATAGATATAGAAAAGAAAGAAAGCTATAGTGCTTAGAAGGGGGTAATTCCGGGAGAAAGACCCTAAGAATTCGGAAAAATTAATTCCCCACCTCGCAGGCATTCGAACCACTACCTTCGGATTTGTACTACCGATACTCTACCAGCTGAGCTACAAAGCCAGACTGTAGCAGGTCGGTGTGAAAAAGATGTTGGGTATAGCGGTAATAGAATAATGTAAAGATATGAATATGAGGACCGCATGGCACTCAGAATAGCTTAGTTTTATTCAAGGTATCTAGCATGGGAATGGTCTGTTGAAGGCTAAAAAAACGGTTGATGCATGGTTAATGTTGTTTTTTAGTTATACGGAACGCCTCCTTCTCACAACATCAGAAAGATCTCAAGACAGTGGACCATCGGACCAATAGTCGACAAGTCCACTTTGAGAAAGGAAGTACGAGACTTCTGTGGCCAGTTCCCAGTCTACCGCCTGGAACCGTTCACTCCTGATTCGGTATCTTATGGGAAAACTGGTAAGCACAAGAAAATCAGTATATCGATAGAAATAAGTATAACACAGTCAATTGAGGCAATTTTGGCTGCTAACATACATAAAAATTGATCAATTTGAAATGTTGGGTAAATTATTGATATTGCAAATTTATACTTCTTAGTAACAAGTTGAAACTTGTCATATTATGAGGAAGGCATGAGTGACCACTTAATAGAAGGTGACCGCTAATAAATAGAGGTTCGACTGTATATCAAAACAGGTGTTATTTTATATTTAGTATATAATTTCGAGCATCCGTTGGTTCCAGTATTTCCCTGATTTACAAAGCAACACAAAATAATATCTACAACAACAAAAAACAAAATTAACAAATCAAGATAAAAATCAATAAAAACGAATTACAAACAACCGCAACAAAACATGTGTATTTAATTTATTATTGATTCAATACCATAGAGCGGATTTCGTATGACTGTGCAATGGCACGGATCACAACACGAACACGGCATGGCAAGGTCACGGAACCTCGCCTTCTAGGATTCCAAATAAAAATAAGATTTAATAATACATCACCGCTACGGTACGGTACGACCACGGCGCGAAAGTACATTGTCTTTTGCACAGTCATACGAAATGCGCTCTATGAAGAATCGATTAGTTTTTTAAAATGAATATAATAAGTAAGAGATAAATACCGAGAACGGAGGCAATAAGCCATATAAAGCACGAGGGGCCGTAGGCCCCGAGGGCTTTATAGGCTTATTGCCGACGTTCGAGGTATTTATCTGACTTATTTCATACTTGAAGAAGTTTTCCAAGCACTGCATTAATATTTTCATTTTAAAATAGGCAAAAATGCCGTTTCCATATGAACTAAAAACCAAAACCTCGATTAGAAAGGTTACGAAATTTACTGTATTGACAATTCCCAACGGTAATAATTTGTATAAGCATTTTTTTCGTTAGTCCCATGAGACCAATGCTAACAATATACCTTTTGTAACAAGTAACTGGACAATGTTAAATAACTGTTTTATTCCACAACTGACATCGATTAGTCAGTTAGCATAGCGTGTTAAGTATAGGATTTTCAAAGCTAAGGTTGTGGGTTCGAATCTACTTGGTGTCATTTGAATTTTTCTTTCTTTCTTTCAAGTTTAAAGTTTCAGACGGAAAATTTCTAAGTTGAACGTAGTAGTTAATTAGGTATTCAAGGGCAATAAGTACATTAGTATTCAAGGGCAATATCTAGATATTGCCCTGAAACTTCGATATAAAGCACTTGAATACACAATGAGCTGTGGAATAAGCTAGATACAATACTATGAATAACAAAGAAAACTGAATCAAGTATGAAAGAAGTATTGTTAATTCATTTTAATTCTTTTTATAGGTAGATCCAAGCGTGATACACGTCGATTGAAGCTTTGTACAAACGTTAGACCCCCAACAGGATGTTACATTGATAACTGGTTGTACACATGCCAAATAGTGGAAAAACGCTGCGTTTATCATATAACTTGCAGAGTGAATCAGCAGCGATCAACATACGATTGTGGATCACTTTCAGATCACCAATACGACAGCCTAACCTGTTGCACCCCTAGTTGCCCTTAGCTTACACCACCTTATGCTGATTGTCTAGAAGACCAAAATTGTCGCAAAAATTCAATATTAGCTAATCTAGGTGTTCAATAAATATTTAGAGCCAAACTCTTGGGTAGTTTTTTTAATGACGTTTGCAGACGTCTCTCACTCAAAATGAATTTCGTATTTCCACAATAATTAGTCTGGGGACTTGATACCAGACCTCCTGGAATACAAAAGGYTGATTAGTAAGGAATAACTGACAGGCTTAGTATTCAATTTTGAAACGTACAGAACGCCTTTTTATTATTCATTATCTTTTACTTCTCAATTCATACCTAGGTAATACTTTCCCTACCCCAAACCGCAGTTCGTATTCCCACCCTCTCTAAATTACAATGCTATTCTATATTTACACGTTGGAAACCATTACTGAGTTTCTATGGTAACCAACAACGCCTTTCCTAAAAGAAAATAGGTTTCCTGTTTGATATGCTTAAAGGCCTACGTTCATTCAAGAACTTTTGCGCAATAGTTCTCACGTAAAAATCTTTGATTTCGAACCATCATAAAGTAGCTTTACCAAACAGATCTTTTTTAAACAAAAGCATGCGATCCAAAAGGGTTTCGGATGTAAGTGGGCCTTTGAGCAATTAACAATTTTAAGTTAGTCCATNTACACCTTTATATACATCTGGAATTCACTGTGGCAGACTGCAGTCAACRTTTGCCCTCAACTCCTGTGCGCATATCATGAAATCGCGTCCTTAATACAATTATACGTAGTAGTAAATTTGAGCCACGACTTTATTTTGATGTTACTATTTTGTGCAATTTATATGTTATTTACCGGCTGGGAGGTCCGTATAGGAAAACACTGCCCGAGGTCGACGGTAGGGAACGAGCGCACCGAGGGTGACGCTACTCCTAGGGTTAACCTACCTGACATGTAAACCAAACCCGCGAAATCAATAGAATAGGGTCACCTCCAAATAGGGTGTAAACAGGCCCTTAGTGTAATATCTATTTCAAGGGTTTTTTGACTTCACTCTATGATTGAGTACAGAGTTACTATTTTGATCTTGCATACATTCATGGTGAGATTGCGCGAGTGCAAATGCTAAAACAGCGGAAACCTTAAGTAATAATGTCGCACCACTTAACTCTATTTTGTAGGTATTTTTAGAGTTTACACTCGCTTACTTTAGTTCGTCTAGTGTACGAGAACCCATCTTCACGTAAATCTCTTGTAAACGACATAAATCATTATTTTTATCATCGTTGTTAACGCACGTTGTCCATTTGCCTACATATATTTCCTCCTCCTTGGAATACCACTATTTAAAAAAAAAAAACGTTGTCGAGGAGAACAGCGATTGTCGAGGGAAGGGCACGACCAAAAAGTACTATTGTTACGCTATTTTGACAAACAAAATTTGCTGGGTTGCCCTCGCTTTGAAATGGAAATTAAATGGAGCCAATCTTTACGACAAACTATCTTGCAGCATAAATCAGTTGTTATTTCCAATCAATAAGCAAAACCCATGGTTACTTTTGGTCGTACAATCGCCGTTCGACAATTGACATTCGCCATTTTATCCGAAAACCTTTTATCCTTTATATCGTTTACCAAGAGTTTCCGCATGGACAACTATACCATTACATACTTTTAAGCGTCTTTTCCYAGCATTGCTTTACCCACTGAAGAATCTGCATTTCTTATTTTATTTCTTACTTCAAGATTCTGTATTTTTATCCGCAGGTTTACGATTGCTACTCTGCTACACTGATTTCAAATTCCCCCAAGAAATGTTTATGTCCCATTTCCATGACAAGAGCTCTCCAAGAGCTCCAAGCAATCTTCTCTTCTACTGAATCCAATGTTCAAAACAGTTTCTGCGTAAGTTCTTTCCAACGTCATTGCAAGAGGGATAAATATCGCCATAAGTTTTGTCAGAATGGCGCCATCATGATGTCACGTCATTCTTGTCGACGTGGCCTCATAGCAGTCAGGATATAGTCGATATAGAGAGAATGACGTCGTTATGTATGCTTGCTGTGACATCATCATAGTTGCAATGTCCAAATAGTTGAGGTGACGTCATACAGTCCATGTGGCATCACATTTAATTACGCCGGAAGTTATAGCGTCGCACTGAACGGTGTATTAACGCAAAGAGAATGGGGACGGCCCACACGGAATTCAGTCAGAGGTATAGCGACTTARCCAATCACGTGGCCTTGACRGGTGGTTCTCGTTTGAGAGAGAGTCTGTAATTTTCTTCTTCAGTGTTGAACGAGGCGTTAAGCAGAAACTGACGGACTTCAGGATTGCTAATGAAGTCATACTGTACAGCGGCCATCTGGTACTTGATGAGTTGTAGCTCTGTGCCGGCTGGAAAAGCAACAAAAGAAAGTCAGCCCTRATAGTCATCGAACTATGTCAGACTAGAAATGTGCCACACAGTTTCCCATAATAAAAATACTTTTATAGAATGGAAATCAACAATAATTTTGATTTGGAGAACCAGTGGGTATTTTGAATCCAGCTTGAATACCAAATATGGAATCAAAATATGCTAATAAGTATAGAATGTTTGAACAGAATAGTACAGTTTCAATCGTCCTGAGGGTAAGGCACATTACTTAATGGCGGATACAGCATTCATTTGAGGAAGGGCCTACAGAGGAGGGGCTGTACCACACAGAATGGATGGGTATGGTTGAGTGGGTATGGTTGAGCTTTTCTTATAATATAATTCCAAAATCACTCTATAAGGTTCCAAATAGACTTACCTATATTACTACTATCTGACGATCTAACCAGAGACTGCCATCGCTCTTCGTCAAACGTCGACGAACTCTCAAGTCGTTCGCAGGAACAATCCCGCGAGACATCCTGCGAGATATCTCGTGACAGCAAATTACAACCATCTTTAATTAAAGGAGTGCTGACGCTTTTMCCCAGAACCTCGTGTGAATTTACYGAGCCYTCTCGTATGGACTGTGTACTAAAGCTATGTCCCAGYACATCGTTAGTYATTCCCCTATGAGCACGGCTATCTTTGACCGAGTTGCTACTGGTACTGCGTCGCACTAGACCATCTAGAAAGAACCGTCTTGGCTTTGACGACTTGGAGCTTTCTGAAAACCGTCTTTTAGGTTTACCAGATRAACYTCCGCTGAAGAAGGACGATGAAGCACTCTCTGACATGCGCCGTAGCAGCGGTGGTCTACTGGAMGATGGCGTGCGAGGRCTGTTACCATAGTGAYTATTTGAGCTATTGGAGTTCGARATAACCGAGTCAGAACTTGCTGGCATTAGTTTKGACTTGAAGCGGTGGACGTCGAGAAGCTCTGCGCTGTGATTTCTGTTGTGATTGAAGGGTGTTTCGATCTCCGTGCTGTTCTGTCGACTATAAAACCTTCGCAGTTTCATACGCGTCGAACTTCGCTTCGGCCTRTCACGTGAGAAAACGTCATGCAACGAACACGTGACTGTAGTCTCTCGTTTCTCGTCTATCAAGTTACATGATGTGTCTGGGGAAAATTCCCTAGGAGTGGCAGGACAGGAGTTGACTTCGTTGTGAGACAGTGGTGTAACGCCATTGCACTTTGTCACGCCATTTACGGGCGAGCCATCGGTGCTGTCATCCGGCTGTGTGTCTTTTGTTATTTTTTGTCTTTTTCTCTTAACTGACATGAAAGCCTGGGACTGGGCAATCTGAGTAAGAAAGTCACCCAAGAATGGAAGACAAGCGCCATTAGCAACACAGTTGGCCATTTCTTTACGGTACAGCGCGAAGTTATCGCTCTCTCCCATAAGAATCGATAAATCTCGGAATTTTCTGCAATAATCAAAAGTAAGAATGAATTAGTGCTTGAATTCATTGTAATAAGTCTTTCTGTTCTCTATTATAGTCTTCAAATATATTAGTCTATACAATGATTGGTAAGTAAGACGGCAATGCCTACTTTTTTCTCTTCGATGAAACTTCTTTCCAAGTTTCCTTCATCCGATAAAGAGGCGTTGACTGAAGACCCGCCATTAAAGCCTTTAGTGAGTTGAAATTTCCAAGCAACCGACATTTGTCTGCAATCTAAAGAAGAACACAATACATTACTTGAAGCAAATCATTGACACAAAAACCTAATTTACGTTTTGCTTCCTATTTATTTTTAGAAAAACAGACATGCTTCAGTTTGCATTTCTGTCAATTCATATTGACCTATTATTTTCATTTTGATTTTACTACACTACATTTGGTCTTGACGTCAAGATGAAAATATATATCGAAGCCTTGCGAGGTCAAAATACTCGTAATATCAAAGAATTCATATTAACCATGTGCTAACCTGAATAACTTTAGAGATGACACGTGCTCTGGCTTGTGGTGTTTCTTCTGCAAGGATTTCCGTAGCGACCAATAAAGCTATTCGATTAAAGAACTCTACGATCTCCATTACATTAGGCGAACGAACGTACTGTAAATATATTAAACTATATTAGTGCAGGCATTTACATTATAGGCAGTATGTTGGATAGGTCTGAATAATACTATGTAAAAAAAAAAACAAAAAAAAAACAAAACAAAAAAACAAAAGAAAATAAGCAAACAAACAGAAACACACACACAAAAAAAAACATTGGCGTAGCGGTCAGATGCACGACCGAAAGTTACTGCGGGAATAAAGCGGATTGATTGTACAAAGGCAAGGATGACAACATGCACACGACAGGGTACGGAACCCCGCCTAATCGTGGCCTCCTTTCGACCCACTAAAGTAATTGCGGGGAAAGAGTGTCTAGTACAACTTGCATGCGCATACCAGCTTTGTGACACCGCTATCACCACATAGATGTAGATCGCACCACATAGATGTAGTGACCACATAGATGTAGTGATCACCTGGATGTAATGATCGCGAGGTTACAATTCTCAGTACAATATACAAAAAGACTGATCTTTGAATTCTCAACCAATCAAAAAGCAACAGATCGCCTAAAAGGTTCTTGGACGTAAGTATCCATAACAATAATAATAATAATAACCTTGTCCTTTGTCATCCAGCCACAACTCTCGAGTTCATGCCATAGTATCCTAACAAACAACTCCTTGTCAATTAGTGTTATCTCCTTAGCGAAAGTGAGTGAGTCGATGTCCACGAGCCCGCGAGGACCTCCGTTCAGCAGTACATCACYAAAATCTGGACTAAATGGTACTTCAGTAGGGCTGATSGATCGKCCAACTTCGCCCTCGTCAAGYGTTGAAGACTTTAGAATTGGRGAAAGAATTCKTTGTACAAATTTTTTTCTTGCGCTACCTATCGTGAGATAAAAATAATTGGGAATTGATTAAGGGATACAGCAGGGAGAAAGACGTAAATAGCTACACATATGTCATACATAAGCGTAAAAATACAACAAAACTACAGCCTGATAACAAACCCCGATAGTAAAATTGAACGGTTTGTCTACAAGTATCCGGGGATGCTTTCCAGGGTAGACTGGGGATAGTTGAAAACATTTTGAATACCGATACATGAAAACGCTTCGCATCCATTATAAGTTTCGCCAGCAGGTGTTAGTGCCTGAGATTACCTAACACGAAAATGAAATAATGTCTGGCATGCGTGTTGATATAGTCATCTTGCAGCCGTGTTAAGTTTCAGTCACGGAACACTCTCTATACACACTGTGTATGTGGGGGAAGCCTTCACCGTTCCCTTGTTCACATAGATTAATAACCAACAATGAGCAGTTTTCCCAGTGGAATTGAAACTGTCCGAACACTAAATCGAATATTTTTACTAAATTTATTAGCTTTTCCTGAAGCAAATGTAAAAAAACCCAAAAAACATATAACACAGGGCGAGTTTCTACGTATCGCAGCAATCGATATCTTTCCTATGCTCTATATGAAAGATATATGTATAGAGCATGGGAAAGGCCGCTTGTCCGACGTAGCAACAGTAACTAGGGAGGTAGGACAATGAATGGTGATCAGTCAGTTGCATGATGGCACCTCAGCGCGAGTGAGAAGTGTTAATAAGACGACCCGATTGGATTTCACGCTGTTCCATTAAATCACATCGCTCAGTGATGGTCACGCATAAAAATCGATATTCAAAATTGAACGACGAGTAATTACTATTTTTATGTCATGCAAGTTTTTAAAATGTTTCACTAGTGAAATAAGCCCAAATAGTCAAGGAAGGACCTTGTACGAAACAGCTTGCGGAGAAAGAAGAGGCGAAGGAAGAAGAATGACAAATGGAGAACTTCCCTTCTTTACAACTATGTCCTCCGCTTACTTCAAGTCAGTGTATGAGGAAACCAGGCTTAACGTTCGCTACAAATCGCGTGATGCGAAACTGTGACAAAATGATTTACACTAAACGAAGAAACTAATATCTGTCTCTRTATCAAAAGAAGATTTATAGGTTGACCAAAGTTCGACCTTAATTACGAATAAACAGTCCTTCAAATTGTTCGAGAACTGCTACTTGTTAAGTGTATGAGAAATGTCACGCGACAAGGTCGCCTGTCACGGTTCAGTATCTCTTCAAGGTCGATGTATATCGCGAAACTGTGGAAAACCTCAAACTACTAAAATATTTAAATTCTTAATTCATACACTATGAAAAGTAATCTATTTGACTATATTATTAAAATTTATAATTGGCACGAATAATGCCAAATGCAGGCATTTATACAGTCATGCATAATCTATATTCGTTTGCGATAGTTAGTAAAACTACACAATATGTAAACCCTAGGAAACATTATCAAACAGTCTTTTATAATACAAAAAAGAAAAAAAAAATGAAGATTTCAATTTAAGAATCTCTAACTTCGCACTGGAAGGCAAACGTTTGGTAATTTTTTTTTTAGATTATCTTCCTTGGAATTATTCTACCATAGATAGTTGCAAATTATTAAAGTWCATAAAAACTCTGCAAACCTTAGTAAACAGAAATAATCCTTAAGAAGTGAAAAAAAGTCTGACAGATCTCACCTCGTAAATTTAAGTATTGCTCCGTCCAAAGTGTGTAGCTGTCTCGTTTCTGGATAAGGTATATGCGCATGCCGGGAATTTAGGCTCGTTAAGCCACGGCACGAAAAAGTTAGAAAGTGTGTTGAAACTTCGCCTTTAGTTAGTTACTATGAAAGCAAGTGAATTATAGTAGATTATGCCCGAGGAATGAAAACTATTCYGCTCGAACGTTCTTGTCAAGTGGAGACCGAGTCAAGTATTCGTGTAGAACATCACTAAAGAAATTAGTCAAGGAGAAAATTCACGTGCCATCGTAAAATTCAATAGCAGCAAAATAAAATTCAATAATAAAACTATTTTGGAAGATTAAATTCAACTAATGTAAGTTCAATCTTTACTTAATCATATTACATGTAAAACACCATGATACTTTTCGTATTTTTTAAGAATTTGACAATCACAGGGAGTTATGTAATGACAGAGATTGTCACGCGATCACRGTTTGTCTGTTGCATCGTGACGCCAGCAACAAGGTATGCAAAGCATTCTATCAATGGTTAGTTTATCTTATCGTTTAATGCTAGGAAGCCGGTAAGTYTCATTGACGTCAACGATGTAGATACTAGTCATAGATTCTGTAGAATACAAAATAATCCCACATCTYATAATATCTGCCCTGATTTGCTATAGAGTCGATCCAACATGGAGAAGTCTGCGTGGAAAATTTGTGACAAAATTTTGAACTAGAGTTGAAGTCTTTCTACTTCTTATACCCTTAAAAACTCTCGTTAAAACTGATTTTAAGATTTCTTTGAAGACACGACGCCATTTCAAAATTTGCAAAGAAAAAGCAAGTGGACATGAAAAAAGACGAAGCTAACATTCATGTTATGCTTTGGTGTGCAAAATGTCGACTATGCACGTTGCCTATAGACTTCTGAAGATTTTACGTCGAGTACTGTATACGCAATGCATTGTTGGATATGTTTGGAACAGAATATGGACGATTTCTTTTGTTTTTTTTTTTTTTTCCTTCTAGAAAGTAATCCCACAATGCATTGAAAATCAAGTAATGACGTAAAAGGTTCAGAAGTCTATTGTCTTGTTATACTAGTAGCCCGCAATCGTTTTGGTCGTATGCCTCTTTCAGTCACTGTAAGTTCGAATAACCGTGATGTTTTTTTTGGCGATACATGCTCTTACAGTGTATTTCCTATTTCGTTTTCTCCAGCATTTGTACTGGTAGAGAGAAATTGATCACAGAATGATCTCAACCTACTGCATAACTATATTGGTACATAATATCTATTCATCAAAATCGAAACTTGATTTTGATAAATGATACGCAATAGRCTGCAGAAAAAATAAGTCTAGCACAATCATTTTGCTTGGTGGGCTGAAGCACCTATTTAAAAAAAAAAGGTTGTCGTCGCCAGGGCCGGGTTGTTCAAAGCTCGATTAGCGCTGATCCTGGGTTAACTCTTAGAAAACCTGTGGAGTTAACCCTGGATTAACGCTAATCGGGCTTTGAAAAACGCGGTCCAGGACACACATGTACGGTAATCCCGGGATTCTTTGCAGTCTAAAAGACCATGGAAGTCAACTGTGTCCTGGCGACGGCAACGTTTTTTGAAACATTTGTATAAAAACATCGGTTAAACAAGGTGAAGACAGCATTTCTGGTTTTACAGCTGAGCAAATCCCTCAGACAGCATTTCTGGGTCTAATAATAAGAACGGAAGCCAAGCAGTCTGCATATCACCATTTCCCACGATGTGAGGCGATCGACTGTCACTCGACATTACATTTCTTAATTGTCTATTYATTTAGTTACCTGAGCTACTCGAAGTACTTCCTTTTCTACTGAGCGGAGASTCGTTGAGTGAATCTATAAAACAAAGAAAAGATCTTGTAATTACAAACACAGTTTGCCTGACRCACCAAGAGTATGGAATGGTGGGCGTCAATGATTGCAACATGGTCGCTATCTTGAATGACATTTATTTATTACGCGACATATTATGTTGTATTCTTCGTTTTCACTATACGTCACAGCGGCCATCTTGRAGGACTTTAACAAAGGATTTCTCATTAGAATCTACTGTTCATTCCTCCAACATGGCCGCCGGCTTTTATAATTTGAATCTCATGTGAATGGTTGAAAACGATCGATAGGTTTGGAAATATTRGAGCAGATTTCCCAAGAATTTGGTAAAAAAGACTTCAGGCACCTTCTTGACGGTGCTTTACTGTAGACACGATCCCGTTATTAAAGGGCCTGTATCATCCATGATGCTTTGYACGCCACGTCATAATTTCGTGATAAATGAAATAACTTTGACGGTTAATTTAATGTTATCGAGAGGTTGCTTAATATAGTCTTGCTGAGCTTTCAACAGAAGCAAACATTACGCAAATCACTACATGCAACTCAAACGTCCAAGGTTATACGGCTAACCTGACCAATCAGAGACAACTACTTCCTTTCAAAACAAAAACGGGTCGCAAAGCATMCAGGGTGATACTAGACCAGAGACGACGTGACCGTGGCATGATCCCTGTCGGCATATTGGCATATAAAATCTGCTTTGTAAAATTCAACTCCTTACCACGAAATGTTAAAAAATCTAATCACCCAAAGATATTAAGAGATTGGTAAGAATCAAAGTCGCCGTTAGTTTGGGGATCAGACTTTTAGTCCTAGTTACTGCCCTATCATAGGCGAAAACCATGACATCAAACAAACATTTCTTACAAAACAATTACAAGATAATCCTGTCTGGTTTTCGAAATAAGGCTGGCAGATGCTATTTCCTATACTACTGATGCTAAGCACGAGGCCGTCGAAAACGTTTTTAAAGAGCGAGGGTGATGAAATCCGGGCAATAAAATCAAGTGATATTTATAACATGAAAGCGTTGCCRAAGTGTTTTCATCTAAATCAATCATACTTGACAGTTATCTGATAGATTGTTCTTTATTGACGGGATATCTCATACTGAGGGAACGCCGAGTAGACATTAATATCTATTCTAGCAAGATGTTCCTGTACGACAGACGATCTTAGTGCCCACCTTCCCGAATAGAATAACATACACACATTTCAATAGCGCAGTCGACAATGGAAATCGTTTATATTTTGTTGCGGAAGTTTTTGGACAAACAGATACCAATAAAGGCAATAAAATAGCAAATTTGCTGTAATTACTTTCATGTAAAACTGAAAGTTTTCAARTTTAGTCATTTCAAGGCCTTTGTGATATTTGTCAGTGTGTTTGTTTACGTATATATTTTSTATTGTAATGATATAAATTCTTTAAATGACTAGCCATGAGATTTGGSTATAAATGTGAGGAAATATTGTTTAAAGAAAGCGCTGCAATAGTATTAAAAAAACACTTCCTTGGGATTTACAGCAGACATCGGTCAATGTATACCTTAACACACATATAGTTCAACAACACTACTGAGCGTACCAAATGCATCTTTACACCAATCGTTATTACTAACACACAAACATAAAACTGATAGATTACGCAAAGTGGTTCGGAAACTAACATTATGGAATAATAACATTTTCTAACAACAGAGAGAATCATTCTATGCAATAGAGGAATATTGATTTTCGCGGTATAGCAAGTAGACTCTAGAGAAAATATCCACATAATGCGATGTCACAAAGTATAAATAAACAAAGAAATATAATAAAWACAAAGAATAAAATATAATAATCTACTAAGAAACAAAGTTTATAGGTTTTGTCAAAACTACCATTTCTACGCTGCTTTGCTTTGCATACTCGAAAAAAGAAGAAAAATGAAGAACAATAGCGGAGGACGAAAATAAATAGAGGACGCCATGGAAGTGAGAAAAAAGAAAGATAAAGAAGGAAAMGAAAAGGAGAAAGAGAAGAAGACGATGAAGAACAGAAGATGCACTCAAGAAAAGGTATTAGAATGAGAATGAAAAAACATAACGCCTAAAGCATTAGTAAAACAGATTTAAGTAAACAAACTAATTACACGAAGACTATCGAATTATTTCAAGTTCTATATCGATGAATATTTCGCTATTGACTCTACCAATTGCATTCATCGGTGCCGCTTGCATCACGAGGGAAAATTATCAATAAATGGAACTTACACATCGAGAAAAGAATATGTAACAATAATCTAGTAAATCAATAGAATACCCGTTCGYCTGTTATTGTTTTCCTCAGCGGAAAGTTCCTCTTCCTTGTTCAAAATCACAACATTGTTGTCATCCACATCGCTTGTATTTTGTACCATATTTTCGCGGTTCTTTTGCTGTGGTTCTTCATAGAGCGCTAAGCTAATTTATAAGGTCGCAGGCGATGTGTATGTCACGTTTCAGAAGAGTGGTTTCCTTAATATATGCTTGGTTCGATGTCTGAGAGTCTCGCTTCCTGTATGCCCGGGGCTATTATGGTTATTAATAAACATGGGCTTTGCCACTAAAATTTCACTTTTGAGTTCTAAAATATGTAGTTACAAACGAATAAAACTAATAGCATTAAAAAGTAAAACAGGGTGATATGCAAACATTTAGAGCACAATTAATATAATTAATATTTTTAAAACATCTGAGGGCCATAAATGATTGAAAGTGTTGCACTGGATGCTTTTAAAACGTTTAATCAATTAAAATATTTATCAAAATATTATGATGAAATATAATGAAATTCAATATTTTGTTGAAATATAAAATGTTGTTCAAATAAAAAAACAAGCAAACGACCAAACACCGCCAAATTACAATAAGAAACTACAATAAACCAAAAACACCGCGAAATTACAATAAGAAACTACAATAAACGAAAATAATTAAATCAACAAAAATAAGAAAATCGATAGACAATAGTATTCAATAATTTTACAAAGTGCAATAATGTATTTATCATATTTTAATTATTGGATGTTATAGAGCAGATATCTGTGCTATAATATCTATTGTAATAATTCACGTCTTTATGACCTCACTCTAGTTACTAAATTGCTCAAAAAATTACTTGCTAAACAATAGAAAACAACAAAAKTGGAAAAACAATACAAAATAGCAAGTTATTTCACGGTTTTACTAAAAGCACTCTAAGTCGACGTTTATAGAAACTACGTTGAAGACCGTGTTTCACTATCTTGGAGAAAATAATCACTGTTATCCCGAAAGCAAAACAGCTGTAGCGTCRTAATCAACTGAATCGCGATAATCAGTAGAGGCAGCCTGGGRCAGCATTTGCTACAGATCATGGTTCGTCGTATCGAGTATAAGAGTTGCTGATAATTAACCATGGRTTCTCAGCCARTCAGATTCGATATAATATTTCAAAAGTCGGCGTCGGGCATAATCTTATATCAAAATAATGTAAAACCATAAAACAGTTCTCGATAATTGAAGACTTGTTTTGAAAAAAAAATATGTGTTGTTGTTGGTAAATATACAAATTAACAAATTAATAGACGTAAAATGACTCAATGAATAATTCGCATTCTCTACAGTTCTGAGCCCGTTTGTCGTTATTCGATCTTTACAACACTTAGGTCTTATATTTCACTGTAAGCTTTTCAAAGACCAATAAACAAACCAAGTCAACCAACCAATAAAATGTTACATAAATAAACCTGCCACACATCAGCTAGACTCAAGCTATCATGTAGCGTGCGTAACAGSCRTATTTTGAGTTGTTTTATCTATGCAAAATTCACTTACGCCTTTCCAGATTTCCAAGCAACCGGGCGASTTCTTAGCCCGYGTCAGAAGCCGTGCGTCATACAATCACTACAATCAAGAGAGCTTAAGATACTGTAAAAACTGAGAGCCCGCCGTATGATATTGATGAATCAGATAGGATATATGGTATTGTAAGTGTACTATTTCAGAACTTTTAAAAGAAGTGATAGAGTTAGAAAAGTAGACMCGTGGAAACCATGGAACTAGAGGCCATGGTTATGAGGGAAGGAAAGGTGTTATTAGAGTGGCTAGCCTCTCCCCATTTTAGATAAAATAAACAAATAATTAAAAAAAAAAAATGAAAAAATTAGAATAGAAGAATTATCTCTTGATGTTAATAACTTCAATCTGATGGCAGTTCTTATAAAAAAAGTTGAGTTCTTCTTGACAAAATTTTATTTTCTGCAGTCCTAAATCTATCCATTTTTTATGTGTTATTCTTTAAGATAGAAGAATTTTGACTAAAATCAGAATTTGAAGATGAACAATAAACTTGATTAGAATTTCTGGTATAATAGGCCTTTTTCTACGCATTGAATAGTCAAGTTTGACGGGCTGCGTTCCTAGTTTTGTTTTCGAGGTTGTTAACATTCTTTTTCTTTCCATCATGGCGGATTTAGTACCATGTGACCGTTTCATGCAAAAGGCCTATTGTTCCTGTTTGCGATATTGCGATGCTTTAGCAATACCTGCAACGCTGCATGCCGTGCAAATAAAGGCTTTGACTGCTGACTACTATTAAATTCCTCCTTTACTAAAGTATGAATGTTCTATTTCTTTATAATGGCGTTGCTGTATTTTAATTAAAAGTCTGTACATTCACCATAAAGTCACGGGATGTCCTCAATGCTGGGGAGTTTTCACTGGGAATTYAGAAAGAYCACATGATTTTTGCATTTCAAGGCCAATGAACACTTTGGCAAGTAGGTACTATAGACCGAATTTCTGAATGGGTTTCAACTTAGAATTATGGAATTGTGCGRCCCATTTCAAACGGCAAATGTCTCATGCACCGAACTAGATACGGAAATATTACTAGAATCTCATTACCATCAAATTTGCACACAATGCTACATATTGCGAGGTTTTTGCATCTTTAGATAGACTATACTACACGAGACGATAATCAAAAATATCTCTCAGACATGTCGCSATCGGATTGGTAAAAATCTTGATCAAATTTGTGAGCTATGGGGACACATAGCCTCGAATGTATGTGTAAATTGATTGTTTTTTGATTGTAAAAAAGATAAATTTAAGACCGTAAAAAAGCAGCTCACACTAGTTTACCTCGAGTTTCCACCATTTTGWTTATTTCATTGTTTTTTATCTTAGAAACGAGGCTATTTCCGCGTGTAGTGGAATTTTAAGAACAGTCAATACAGCGTTAAACTACAAGACAGGTCTCGTGACCAGCCAAACCTCAATGTAAACAGAAAGTGAGYGCCTTATTTACACAACAATGTAATCAGTATTTACTGTACAGAAACTCAATATACAATGTAAGCAACTAGCGAAAGGCGAGAGTTGTTTCACTTTTTTACCCAAATAATTTCCTACTTAAATATTTCCAGATATTTCTAAATATGTCTTTTCCTATCTCGTAATTGCCTGTCCAAACACGCTATCACTTCCTTCTTGAAAAAGTTAAAATATTCAATTTGTGATCGTGGAATTGGTATGTTTCTGTCATTTATGTCTTCTGACTAAGCTGCTTGGGTATACTGCATTCTATGAACTGCTATCAAGGCAATTTATATCAATATTGGTTTGAACATTGAAGTTATACTTCATCCTTTCTCTGACCCCTTTATATCATGAATGTTCTGAATGCCAAAAAGCTTAAAGTAGCTAAACTATATATTACGTATACAAAAAGATGACGGTAAGCTTATGTCACGAAAGTAGGTATCGATAAATTGCTTCAGTCTTTCTGAGTGCATTTCAATGTTTGCAAAGCAAGCAATGTCAATTTGCAGGGCATAACCCCTATTCGCTACCCCCCTCACTTTATTTACCGTGGCCCGGAAATTTCTTTGTGGCATATTGTTTTAAAAAAAATCCGATAGGAAATAAACGCGATTTTAGTTATGGAAATTGACTGTAGCTTTTATAATAAAGAAGACATGATATCAATCATATTAGATACAACAGTCTTGTATTGATTGAAAACAGTAATGTGATAAAGTAAAAATACAACCTCATCTCGATATAGAAATAAAGGAAAATATAAAATCATAAAGTACATTTGCATGCATTATTCCCTTTTACCATACATTAAACTATCATAAACCCAGCTTTCTGATTGGCTACCGAACTACACTACCTATTCGTGCTATAGAATATGTTGGARTGAAGCAAAAATAGCCGGAAATATGTCGAGAAAACGYTCTTTTGTCTAATTTCCCCAAAAGTTTGGTGGCCACGGGACTACTCGGTCTCGTGCTCTACGGGTAGATAGTTTATTTAGCCGAGCCGTTGTCCCAAATACCAAACTGCGAGAGAAATGTAACTCATGCAATGTAACTATAAGCTTGATACGATCTTTGAAGATCTTTGTACGACTAGAATAGCTTAACTTAACTTATTTTGCGAAAGATGCACGGAAAGGAATCATGATAAAACAAATACATGTAAGGATTTACGACCAAAAATGCTTCCCGCTGAACAAAATACGAGCAGTGAGGAATGACTCTGATTGTCAAACAACATACCTGAGTCATGGTTGTCAAAATGAGTCAAAATCGACCATAAACTGCCTTGTGAACGAAAATACAACGGGTTAAACCTCTCATCCAGTAAGAAACTCTCGTCCATTGGAGTCATTACTTCCATGATGGACTATGAGAGTACTCTAGTCGGTATTCTAACGTTTGGTTGTGATATCACGGCATGGTATGTTCACCACACACAGACTGACCTTTGTGAAGTATCAAGGGTCACGTTACGTTGCAGTGACAAGGYAGGACAAGAATGTCTTGAATTGACGGCATTCATTTGCATCAATCTACTTCAATATGATATTTCCTAGTTTGAGAGCTCAGTACGTAAGTCTCCACTAGAGTCCTTATACTCCTCCGGCTTATCATATTCTGATCACATATCAACTAATATATTTTAAAAAAATCACTTTTTAACGTTTTTCTTTTATCGAATTTTAATGCGCAGGGAACACCCCAAGGGCTATCCCCAACCGCGATCCCCTCCATGTTTATGATGTTTATGTGTGAGCAATCGTACTTTTTTAACCGAAAATTTGATAATAATCATAAGGCAGTCTCCACCGGCTCGGCAGGAATCACTGCGTCCCTCTGTATTATTGGGATTCCTGTGTATTGTGAGGAATGGGGCGAGAAGGGAGGGATTGATRGCAAAGCAAGAGAAGGATAATGGCAATTAGTATAAACATACTAATGGTCTATCRCTCATAYTGCGCTGTGATTGGCTGCTCTACTAATGGTCYAATTTGTGATAGACCACWCGCGGGAAAATCAAAATAAATAAATTATAAATTATTTTAAGGATATTTCAATTTTTTTCATTATTTGACCGATTAGTATGTTTATACTAAAACAATTAGACCTCTCGGCCTCGCGGACTACGAGCTAATAACCCATTCGGCCTCGCCGACTCGGCCTCATGGGCTATTAGCTCGTAGTCCACTCGACCTCGAGGTCTAATTGTTAAATGGCTTTGCTTAATACTGCTAAAGAGGACAAGCGAATCTCCAACAAAATTATCTAATTTTCGCAATGTCATTCATCATTGTACTGAAGCACTGCTYGTCTTAGAAATGGCAGCCAGCATTTGTGCTCAGGTTTACAAAAAAAAGCCGGCAGAAGAATGGCCCCGCGACACCTACTTTTCAGGSTATGGAAATAGGTCTGAATTCTAGGTTAATCCGCAAATATGATTTCGGTAAAATCCATTTATGCCTGTGCTATCTATCTATATCGTCTACGTTTAGATGTGTACAAAAAGGCGTAAAGAAGTAGAAGTTGTAACGTCCGTCGAGGCCATTAATCTACGAGCAGTGATCTGCGATGTTTTTCGTCATGTCATGAATGACTTTCATGAACCGCTATTAACGCGTTCAAGCGAGAAGAAGAAAACACGACCTGACGAAGTTGACCAAAATGGCAACGAAACGTAGTCGGCAAAACACTGACCTGGGTGAGCTGAATAGCCCAAGTAGCCAAAGCAATAAAGACTTTCATGAAAAACAAGACTTTTATGGTCCGAGTATGTAATACGATTAAGGAGACGTTCATTGCACAAACAGCGCGATAAAAAAAAAAATGCAGTGCTTGTTAGTTCAGCCTCCTCGGTAATGTAGCCAGCTACACATTAGCACGAGTAAACGCTCTAAGAAGATCAAGTTAGGTACAAAAACACCCGGAACTAAAGGTGTTACTATGTGACAAAGACGTACATTTTGTCAGTGATGACATCAACTTGGCAACAATAACCATCATCATCACCATGGCAACTATATAATCAACATCACTATGACAACCACATTCCACATCAGCACCATGRCAACCGTTARCAACATCATCAYCATGACGACCAATKTACATCATTATGACATGAATGTYAATGCTGTATAGAGTAACATTATTTTTGACCTTTGTAATAACTACCATCCCACAAAACTGTTATTATATACTGTTCATTATATAGTGGATCCCTCTGTCATGTTCTGTTATAATAAGAATTTTTCTTTCAAATGCTTAGAAATACTTGTCTTTCTTGTACTTCTTGCCTACTGCCCTGAAATTTTTTGGTGGTGAAAATATTCAGATATTTTTTCCTATGTTTACAACAAAAAGTGACGAATGCATGTTTATAACAATACATACAGTCAAAAAATAACAATTCAAAATAAAAACCAAAAATACAATTAAAATGAAACAAATACATACTCGCTACATAACTATTTGACAGTACTWCAGTGATTAAAGCTACACTCTCATATAATCTAGTAAGCAGATATAATATATACAAAGCTTAGCTAGGATGATGATTTTTGACAAGATAAAAATAAAATTAGTATATCCCCTAATTGTCTTACAACTACATTTGTACACATTAGATTACAAGGTCTTATAATCTACCAGCACACTGTAACACAGTTTTATAGCTGAGATGTTCATTTTTGATGAAGATTGAGAAAGAAAAACATTAAAGTATATCTCTCAAATTTCTTGGAGCTACATGGATAAAGCAACATGTACATGATCTTACATTCTTCTAGCAAGCACAATACATGTACATTCACAGCTCAGTTATGAAGMTGTCAGATTTTTAACAAGAAAGRAAAMATTAGAATACCCCATAATCRTCTTAAGAAAACTTGACAGCATTGCAGGGAAGACCCTTATGTTCTGAGTGCCAGCTCTCAAAATGATTTTGTTTATACAAGGGATTATGTACAAATATTTTTATCATACAACTGTACATGCATGAGAATTTAAGGGTGTAATTGCTGCAATATTTTAGATTGAATTTTAGCAGTGATTTTTTAGTAGTGATTTTTATAGTAGTGATTAGAAAACGTAAGCTTTTGTCTATTTATCAATCATGTTACCTGGTGATGACGTTTGAAGTGGAGACAAGTTAAGAACAACTTTATCTTTTCTTGTTTCTTTGCTGGGACTAAGCTCTTCATGTCTGCGGCTACGCCCCGTTGAGCCAGCACTAAAACTTTTAATTCGTCTAAGCTTTGATGGGCTAGTGTTAACATTAGTACTGCTTAAGTCTTTTGCAGGAGAGAAGGGTATTTCTGGCAAAGGTGGATGATTCCGGGTCCGTTTCTTTTGAAGAATTGTTAAAAACCTGCGCACTTTTGCTTTTTGTGGTTTCTGGTCAGGGATGTTTACATCTATTGCCATGTCATCTTTAAAGTTCAGTCTTCGTGCTACTGGGGTTTTGATAATAGGTGTTGTYGTTGCCTTTGTATTTGACATATATAGTTGTCTAGCTGGTGAACTCTCTGTGCGCTGGAGTGCCCGCTTAGCTGGGTTCATATCCCCTAATTGCAAATGCTCTGTACTCTGYGGTATTCTATTAGAATCGCAGGTTAGGGCTAATGAGAGTGACAGCCTTCGGTTATGAACAGCAGAGGGGACAGAAAGAGTTTTTTCATCCCACAAGTGCCTACGTACAAAGTTTAAATTGCTAGGATGRGCACGTAGATGATCTATTCTATTTTGCAGTGTTATTTCTGTTGCTGTGATGTTTTGGAATTTAGCTGTTTTTCTTTGTTTATTGAGTGATTTTGATTTAATTTGTTGAACATACCCTTGATCCAGGGATTCTCTGAGACCCCTCTTGGATTTCAGGTCATTATCAATGTTTACATTCTCGAGATCAGAGACATTCATTAATGAAAATGTGCAAAAAGGTTTAGTAAAAGACAATCTTGGATATGAAGTCGAAGGAAATAGCGTGCCAGCTTCGACAGATTCGAAAACATCTTCATTTTCGCTTCCAATAGTCCCCAGAGATGCGGTTTTTTGATATTTATCTTGTAAATTCGAGAAAGCGAGCTTCCTAACATTGCTAGGGTTAAGCATAGTCATACTTAACATAGACATCGCTCGGTCCACACACAATGGCAAACATTTCGGCAATGAAACCTCTTCTGCTTCWGCGTCATCATCTTCATCATCTGATGAAGAAATATCAGTATTGATCGTCTCGGGGATCGCCATAGGCACGGGTGTATCCAAACTACTTGTACATAGCTGAAAACATCGAATCCACTTCAACCATTCCTGATCGCTAACTTGTCCGCACAAACGGTATGTTTTCCAAGCTTCATCGCCACTCCATTTAGCTCTAAATGTATACTGACATCCCTCGATCAACTCCAGTTCAATATCGCTACGGTCGAACTTCAATACAGTCTTGGCTGGGTCTGGTTGCAACACATGTGACTGCTTTTTGATTTGGGTTTTTGATCCTTCCTCAGTTAAATACAAGAACTCCGATGTAACCAGAATGCGAACATGTTTATCGATCCAAAGTTGATCATTTAACTCGATAAATTCACCTTCAATAAGRACATCTCGCTGGTTGCAGTCAACCGACGTAAAAAAGGGTGTTTTAGCGGGCGAGAGCCTCTCTTCAACAACTGATTTTATACCGTCAAAAACCGAAGCCATTTTTGCCACATTTCAGCTGCATTACCCAATCCACACTGCATTACAGTACGTATATTCAAGGAAATGAAGTGTTCCCAAGATTTTTCTTCCGAAAACTGCCGCTATTTTGGTAAATTTACGTGGTAAACAACTTTAAGTCGGCGAATCGACCTCTGCAGCCATGTTGGTCGAGACAGCCATAAATAATTTATGAAGTGACGTCATGTCAGATCAAAATATACATATTTGAATCAAAGGCGTGCACACGTGTCCTTTTTATTGTTTTTTTTGTTAAAGTTTCTTCCATTAGCTCAAACATTTGCTTAATTACTTCCTGTTTATGTCCATATATTAATATTTTTCTTTATTATTATTGTGCTAGTTCTTCTTTTTTTATTTTTTCTAACACTTTCTTTCACGGGTTATGAACACGAAAAGTTTAAATTCAGAATTCGAATGAAACTCTTATCTGCAAGAATAATGTTTGAATGGTCACGGTAAAGAAAAATAATTTAAATCACGGATAAATCAATCAATCAATCAATAATCTAATTAAGAAGATGCAGACGGAAAAGAAGAAGMAGCATCGATTTTAGGTTCAGTGTAGCTAAGTAATTGGAGAAACGAGCAAGTTACAACGATTTTAACCCGAAATTGTCTGACCTTTGGCGATACATAATAGACTCGATACGATGTACTGGTAGATTTCACAATCATTACAACTATTAAGAAAACTTTGGTAAGCGATTCAGGAACGCCTTTAGAACTGTCTTTTTGCAAATGTTTGTACCGTAGATAATATTTATAATTTTTCGTTTGCATTCCTGAGACATTCADCGAGAAGAGAGAAGCCGACAAGTGTTGAGCTTGGGCTACCTGTGCCTTTTCTCGATGGACAGACAGACAGTCTGGTTCAATGACGTGCAGAGGATGAATTTTATTCCTCTGATTCATCAAATTTKCTTTTCTGATGTTTTCACTGCGGAAACCTCGAAATGTCTCGGAAGTTACTTCATTGTGTATTGTTTAACTAATAGTATTCAAGTTTCTCTCTTTTGCGTGCCTTTCCTTTGGTGATGTCCTTTTTGTGGCTAGTGCCTCGGAACGAGGCTCAAGCCACTATGGTATCGCCTTGAAAGTGGATGGGTGGCTGGGTGGTTCTTGACATTGCATACTGATCAGAAACAATTCAAATAATACTACTTATCGAACTCGAATGCACTGCAATTGATCTAAATTTAAACAACAAAAATATTAAGTAAAAATACAATTCAATTCGAACACGAAATTGCACTAAATGGACTATTAAAAGCGATACTTAGAAAAGATGAATCGTTTACAAGAAATTCGTATATGTAATTAATTAAGAACGGAAGAATAGAAAATGCATTGGAACTAAAATATGAGAAAAGGAGAAAAAATAGACAACATCAAACAGGAAGTTGAAATGAGCACTGATCCGTGATGAATGAATTTGATTGGTCTAAATGAGACATGCTATTCGAGCCACTGACTCTCTTCGACATGCTGAMGGCAGCACACTGCACAAATCGTCACTCGAAAATTTCGCTGAAATGTTGTGAATTTTGACTTGAAATTTCCAAAAGATTGATTTCAACAATTAATAATGATTTTTTGGTCTTCATGATGTCCTAAACTTTCACTTTTGGGAATTTTATTCGAGCGAAAGTTTGAAACAAAATGTCGCTCGAAGAACAAGGCAAGATGGCGRATCACGAGMAACCACCAAATGATAACAACATCGTTCCAAATGTTCCAGCCACAATTCTAAGTTACAATACTATCAAGGAAATCTCTTTGGAATTATGCATGGTTGGATCATTAAAAAACTGGAAGGACGTAGCGGATTTCTTAAAATTCACGAACAACGAAATCAATGGACATTTTGCGAACTATGATGGCTGTTTGCCTGCTCAACATATGCTCAATAATTGGATTTACGAACGGGATGGACARTTACCTGAATTAGTTAAGGCTTTTAGAGAGTTGAAAATTGAGTCGTGTCTAGAWGAATTGTTAGCTGATAAAGGTTTGTGGCGAACGGCGATTGATATTTATTCATACTCAAGTGAGCAGCAAGCTACCTTGGGTTTTCGGTTTTGCTATTTGCTGTGAACTATAAAGTGTAAATTAACTTGAGTTAATTTGCATCACAACGCTTTCAAATGTTGTTTRCTTGTAGGAMTCAATTTTCTGTAACTTAACTTCATGTACAGTAAGCTTACTTTGATTGATCTGTTTACAAACGCTTTATAACAAAGTCAAAGTACAGTCAAATTTGTAAATGCAGTATTTGTGTTGATTCTCTGTTTATGTTTTAGCTTATCAAGCAGCTTTAAAGTACTTCAGGGATCATCGTGATGATGATAGTGATGCATCCTCTGGTACAGAATCAATCAGCGAAGACCCATCATTTCAACCGCCCACAACCTGTGATGACAAATCATATTGCATGGCRTCTTCTAGCATGCCTTCTCTTCAAAAACTTGAAACAACTGATAAATCTTTGCCAAAAGATAAACAGGAAAATAAAAAGGAAAACAATAGTTTTCAAAGGAAAGAGGGTGACTTTAAAGTGCAGTCAGAGAAAACAAGCGATAAAAAACTCAAAGAAAACCCCCAGAAATCACCTATAGATAGCATTGTGACGCTTGCTGATTGGCCAAAGCCAACTTATGTGAGGTCCAAGTCAGTACCGGCCCCTGAAATGGACAATGTTAATGTTTCAAGGAAATACAATAGATCAAAATCTGAAGAAAAGAAGAAAAACAAAAGGACCAAAGTCAAAAAACCCAAGTTCTTAACAAAGCTCTCACTCCGTCCGAAAAGAAAAACTCCACAAGTTGATGATGTGAAAGTAGTAAACGTTCAAGAACGCTACGAAGAACCTAAGACAACTGAAATTACTAATTTATCACCAATTAAAGGTACAGTATACAAGGACTTCAACATAAACATTTTAATGTTTAACACAGACTACATATTTTAATTGTTATAGTACATTCAACAAAATAATACTTTCTCATTGGTCGAGAGGAGTACGATTACATGTGTACAGTGTTTATTGTACATTCAACGAAATAAAACTTTTTCATTGGTTGAGAGGGTACAATTACAGCATTAATTGTACTCCTTATAGAATTTTGTTTCACTGAATGTACATGTACTATAAACAGAAAATTGCACAACCTCTTGTAYAATATTTAATATTTTATATGGAATTGATAGTCAMTTGTAATGTTTCGAAAGTTCTCAAATTGCGCTCGACTTATTGGAACTTTCAAAACATTATACTCAAATTGTATCCAAGGTTGTGCGATACAAATCAGTGGTAAATCCTTGAAGTCATTTTAAGCAGATTTCTGCTTATGCTGTACATGTCTTGCAGATGTCTTGTGCCTATTTTGACTATCTGTGTCAATAAAAGTAGAGGAAAATGGAATCTAAGGACCTGTATAAAATACAATCAACATGTATACATTACTTATATTTTCAGGGGATGAAATCCCAGAGAGTGTTGATGACTCATGTGAAAGACCTATCAGTTCCAGTTCAGAGGATTCTCTTCCTTCTTCTCCACGATCTCAGGGATATGGATCAGGGCTGGAAAATGATGGTATTTATTTTACTTTTAGGCCAGTTTAAWCAAGTGATCTTGCGATTGTGGGTTRTTTTCATATTTACCACGGCTTTCAACTAATCAGAAATCGAGAAAATTGAAAATTGCTGTATAAACAGYATTTTTAATGATTYGGTGAAGAGGCCAACTGTGGCAAATAACAGGACATTCCACAAGAAATTATTTTAAAGCTGAAGCATAACACAGTGTCATTTCTATTTAGAATCTGAGAATAAAAACAAAAGAATATACATCATCTGTAACCCAGGAGAGCCCAAGATATTCAGCAAAGCCTTTGAACTATACCTGTGCTTTCAAAAGAAGGGCTATCAGTGCAACATATTTGCAATGAAYTTCAAYGAAGAAGTTGAGATTGGTGTCTTCCGTTATCAAATGGAACAGTTTATTCGTGCTGATCATCTGTTCTTATGTGTGTCTGAAGAACTTCAYAAGATCTTTGTGGAGCCCTGTAGAAATAACCCCATCAAAGATGGTAAGAAACAATTGACATATCYTTAATTAACCCCACTTATGAGAACCTGAAATTTTAGAACATGGTAGGCTGAAATTTTCATTTTAACCGCCCTTTCAGCCTGAAATTTATGAGTATACTGTAGCTTCTTACAGCAGAAACYRTTGCATCRCGACTTCAATGTTCAAAGAAAATAGTTGGTATTTAGGTTTTTCTGCGACTTGGGGGYGGATCTTGATACTAATCAYCCAATGATTGAACAAGTTTTCGAAAAGCTCCGCCCCTCAGATTGAAAGAAAGAACAAAATCCAGACAAACTTCAAAACAAAGAGGTCGCGATGCAATGATTTCCACTGTAATATCAAAACATGAAAGTACATCTGTTTTATTTTCATTTAAACATTAAAAAAACATAATGAATGAGTTWTTAGGCCAATAAAATGAGCCTATTTGGTCACATGCATGGACCTTTATATCTGATAAAACACTCCTTATTAGACAGTATTCTTTATATAAAGAATACTAATAAGGGTGACTTTTATGAGATATAAAGGTCCATGACCCTAGCAAAGGTCTCAGGTTTGATACCTGATCATTGACCAATGCAGGATGTCAACCGATTTCAGTGAACAGCCAAGAGCGGTTCTATTATACTTTATACGTATTCAATGTGGGATGACAAGAGTKCTTTGTAAAGTGATTCACACATGATCAACTTGCCCCATTTATCTTACTGCGGTTTTCCGTTTTCTGCGAACTCTAGCACTGCAAACGTTAACGGTCATTTGCTGTTTTTGTTTTTTTCCTCCCACAAAACCGAACCAAGTCCGAAAGTCCGCCATGTTTTTTTTTCTTGCCTCGTGAGTTTAGCTCTGATCTTCAATGTAGAATTGTTTTCATGCATGTCGGCCACATTCCCCAAAAAAACTTCTTCCAAGTACTGCCTGTTGGATAGACATTTGTGCACAAAATTTTGAAGATATACAGGGAAATTGGARATGTTCGAGATGGTGGACTTTTGGACTTGGTTCGGTTTTGTGGGAGGAGTCACGAAAGCAGTTCGTTTACTTTGGAATTTTGATTGACGGGAGCAAAAACAGCAAATGACCGTTAAAGTTCCCAGAGCTAAATTTCGCAGAAAACGGAAAACTGCAGTAACATCTATTTTTTACAGCAATTTCTCGAAGAATTTTAACGTAATTTTGAGTTTCAAATTAGTGTTTCCAGAGTTTTTGAAGCCGTTTAAAACACTTGAGATCGTGTTTTATCATGTATACCTGATAAAACACTCTCTCTTGTGTTTTAAACTATACATGAAATATAGCACTCTGTATATATGCTAGAGATTTAACACTGTGTTT